GGGGTGCTCAGAGCCGGGGGACGACTTCAGCACAGCGAGTTGGCGTATGGAGCCAAGCACCCAGTCCTGTTAGGCAAACATCATCTGACCGAGTTGCTGTTGGAGAAAAAGCATGTTGAAAGGATGCACCAGGGTGTAGAAGGAGTCTTGTCGTTCATCCGTCAGAAATTCTGGATTATCGGTGGTCGACGAGCGCTACGCAACATTACTCAGCGATGTGTTACATGCCGCCGCTACAAGGCTAAGGCTGCCTCAGAAGTCTGCCCGCCGCTGCCAGAAGACCGAGTTGTTCACGAGAGGCCGTTCGCAACTACCGGCATCGACTATGCTGGTCCGTTGTACGTGCGCCGTGGTGAGTCATCTCCGAAGGTATGGATAGCATTGTTTGTGTGTGCCACCACCAGAGCAGTTCACTTGGAGGTGGTCGATAGTTTAAGTACCGAGTCATTCTTGATGGCATTTCGGAAGTTTGTCGCGAGACGTAGTTTGCCGTCTCGGATCAGGTCTGACAACGCTACAACGTTCAAGGCGGCATCTGACAAACTGAGTGTGCCATGGATGTTCAATCCTCCAGCTGCACCATGGCATGGAGGCTTCTATGAGCGAATGGTTGGTACAGTGAAGAGTGCCTTGAAAAAGGTAATGGGAACAGCGTTTCTGAAGGTCCAGGAGCTTGAGACCCTCTTGAATGAGGTTGAAGCCGTGGTGAATAGTCGTCCGCTAACTTATGTGTCTGATAGCCTGGATGAGCCACCAGTAACCCCTGCAATGATGATGGGTAACATCTGGATGTCGTCAGAGAAGCCAGCAGGTACCCTGGACGCTGCGCAGATGTCATCGAGATTGCGTTACCTCAGTCGGACACTGGAGCATGTCAAGAATCGTTGGGAGGTGGAGTACCTAAGTCAGCTGAACAAGCACCAACAGACCATGTCGCGCCCTTTAGCTATTGGTGATGTTGTCTTTGTTCTCGATACCAAGCGCAAACAGTTCTGGCGTTTGGGACGGATCATCGAGTTATTCCCTGGTCGAGAGGGTAAACGTCGTGTTGCCAAGGTTAAGTTGAGTACCAGTACCCTGTTGAGGCCGATCCAAAGGTTAGTGCCATGAAGTATCGTCACAGGACGTGGCCCCTGGGCTTGCCGATACCGCTCGCCCTGCTATCGTCCCTCAGCAGCCAGCGTATGAACCGTCAGCACCGTTACCACCACCACGGCAGCAGGAGATGATGCGTTCTGGGCGCGTAGTCAGAGCCCCGGATCGTTTTTGACTTGTGTGCATTGTTGTACGGCGGTGAGAAGCCCTTTGGTCGGGAGAATGTTGTAAACCACCAGTTCTCAATTGGGAAAGGCCTTCGCGCTTATGGCATTGTATTCGTTGAAATGTTGTATTTCGACTCCGCCGTACCGCTGATGTTGCTGCATGGCATACGCTATATGCGTTGTGTGCGTTTTGCTGTATACGCTGTTATGTCCAGTTTTATATGCTTATGTTTTGCATGTACGCTGTTTTTGCATGCTATAAATAGCTGGTGTTATTAGTGTTCATTGTTAATTATTCGATGAAGTGAAATATACTGTGTAAAGGAAAAGAGTTGTCCTCGTGCCGTGTGGTCGTACGATCCTGACAATTTAGAGAATCTTAGAGGGTTCACCACAGTCATGTTATTAACTGGTCTCGTCATCGTCCTGTAACAGTCGGCATTCTTTGTTGCCGCGGGACTTAGCTTGTGCACATTTTTGCTGCTCTCACCTTCCCCTCTTCGGTCCTACGTAACCACAAACCTTCCAAATTGGAAGGCTGTTGGTTTGCGCACTGGAGATGTGTTCGAGCTAGATGTCGGGTTGCTGAATGTCTCAGTACCCTGTCAGTTTTGTGCCCTATTATGGCACTTTCTGACCGTTTATCATCTTGTTACAGTCGTGGATAGTTGCTGCATAACTCGTTCTCATGTTTTTCTTCTCTTTTTTTATACATTTTATTACTGGCTCTGTATCCAAATTTAAATAATTATGTACATAACACCAGCGAATGACCTCAATTGTCACGATACTCTCCATATCAACGGGACACTTGGAATACTCAGTATGACATATAATCACTTTACCTGAAGAGCTCTGATTTTGAGCCAATGTAATCATGGAAAAGTAAGGGAAGGACAAAAAAGGCAAAATTTTACTAGTTATGACGAAGTGTCCAACAGTGCAACCAGATAATAATTATACCGTCAGCAAGTACGACAACAGGGCACAAAACTGACAAGGAGTACTGAGACATTCAACGACCTAAAACCTAACTTCAACACATCTAAGAGGTGCGAACCAACAACCTTCCAACTTGGGAGGCTCAAGTAAGGAAATATCCAAAGAGGGGAAGGAAAGCGCATCTAGAGGAGCACGAGCTCTGCCCCACAGCAACAATGAATGCCGAACGTTACTGGATGAAAACGATATTAGTAAGACAATTGGTCGTACCGATTTTACTACAACCCAACGACGCAAGGTAACAGACCACCCAAATTGGGAGGTTCAAGTTTATATGGTAAACATGGAAGGGGAATGGACTCAGATGGATAGCCAAGGATTAATTTATACAAAAGAGAAAGACCAAGGAACTACAAGTTACGCTACACTGTCCACTAACACCACCAGTTACACAGTGTCGTGCAATGTTATCGCATGAGCTGATTGTTTAGTAACTGGTGGTGTTAGTGGACAGTATAGCGTAACTTGTAGTTCCTTGGTCCTTCTCTTTTGCATGGAAGGGGAAGCTGAGCATTCCTTGTCAGTTTTTCAGCTAAGTACAGTCAGTATCGCCTATAGCGTTGGTGTTTGATTTTGAGCATTTTATCACTATAAGCGATATATTACTATGACCGATACTGCATGCAATGTATGCGAGTGGGGCGTCAAACGACTCAGCGCGCCGTGCACATACGCACTACATACATGTACAATGTCATGCAGCTGGCTGTAGCTCCTGACACACAAAATCAGGATTTCCTCATGATGGAGGCATATTTTGGCAACTTGTACAAGCAAAACTCACCAAACAACACTCACTGGACAAGTAGTTCTTCACGAAGAAGTAACACCCTGTTCTCCTCTGACATCGCTTGATTTCACATCAATCACTATAACCGATGCAAAAATAGTGTAATAAACGTCTTTTGAAATATGAATTTGATCACTATAGGCGATATATTACTATAGACGATTATTACTATACGCGATAACTGTGTATACTTAGTTATGGCAAATGAAAATGAATTTGAGAAATTGATCACTATATCCGGTATATTACTATAGCCGCCAACCTTATAGGCGATACGGACTGTACTCCTTGTCAGTTGTGTGCCCTCTTGTCACACTTGCTGACCACATAATTATATGGTTTATAATATATCGGTGGACAGTTAGTCATAACTCGTAACATGTTGTGCTTTCTCTAATTACCTGAAGAAAACGACGGTTGCGATAATCAGCAGTCCTCTTGCCAGCGGCATGTCGAACAATTTCCATTACCTACATTGGCAATAGAACACACAGGAAACACAATGACAGATGTAAAAGTGGGAATAGGGAAGAGGAGAGAATCGTCCGTAGAGAAACATGGTTGGAGTAAAGTGCGGTGCCAGGAAAGACGGTTACGGACAGGGTAGCATGAGCAGAAGGAATACTTGTCTTTGTGGCTATTAACTTTATATAGGTGTATCCATAGTACATAATTAGACATGTAGGTTCACAGAGAATACTAAGCTAGAATCCCATCACAGGACATCATACCCGGCCTTGTTATCAATTTTGCGTCCCATAATGCTTTTTGAATATTATTGCTGGAGTGCGCGATTCAGTATGAACTCGAACGTCTCTTATCCGGGCTCCTTGGGACTGTGCACTGCCCATATATTTGATTTGCCCGTATCTCAGGACAGCTCGTCTACCGTGTGAGCCTGGATCAGCAAAAACTATCACATGTGTAAACTTTTCAAAAAATATGTTGTGCTCCAAATTGATCCACAACTACTGAAATCCAGTCTCAAGAAATTTTAGATCGATCACAGCACCGTAAGTGGGCAAATATTGCGGTACACCACATATCTGTACAAAAGTTGAAAGTGGTATTTCTGTGTAAGATACAGGTATGAGCATTGGTATCTGTCTGATCCTGTTAGACCATGCCATCACTCAACTGGATAAGAAGGAAGAATTTTATAATCCTTGGGGGTGCACTCAGACACTTGCTTGTCCAAGTAATTCATTGGCTTCGCTGACTTTATCGTATATAACGGCATATGGCCAAGAGAGTTCCAGGGGCTGATATTGCATATGACCAAGAGAGTTCCAGGGGCTGATATTGCATATGACCAAGAGAGTTCCAGGGGCTGATATTGCATATGACCCAGAGAGTTCCAGGGGCTGATATTGCATATGACCAAGAGAGTTCCAGAGGCTGATATTGCATATGACCAAGAGAGTTCCTGGGGCTGATATTGCATATGGCCAAGAGAGTTCCAGGGGCTGATATTGCATATGACCAAGAGAGTTCCAGGGGCTGATATTGCATATGACCAAGAGAGTTCCAGGGGATGATATTGCATATGACCAAGAGAGTTCCAGGGGCTGATATTGCATATGACCAAGAGAGTTCCAGGGGCTGATTTTGCATATGACCAAGAGAGTTCCAGGGGCTGATATTGCATATGGCCAAGTGAGTTCCAGGGGCTGATATTGCATATGGCCAAGTGAGTTCCAGGGGCTGATATTGCATCCACACCAGGCTCTGTACTGATGCTCTCCAAGCCCTTCACTTCCATGAAAACATATCTGCACACACGGAGTGCAATCCTAGTGGCTGTGACTACTTAGCACACAGGATCATAAGCTACATACTAGCACTAGGTGCTGATACAATCATCGTCATTGTCATTGAGACATTGTTACCTGACCCAACAGGAACATATTTCTGAATTGTTTTGGGAGCTGCTGCATGGATCAAATACATGTTTCAAGGAACAAGTTGCTCAGCGTCCAAGCCAATGAAGCAGATATTGTCTTGCGCTAGTACTCGTTGCTTTTACAGTCGTAAATCGAGACGCCTTTGCTCTGCATCGTCACTGTCGATATCCGACAAACTTACTAGTGAAGAAGTCGTCAACAATATCCACTTCGTCGTCATTCTCATCAGCGCTGCTTTCTTCAATACAAAATCTGCAGCCTCGCTGAGTCGCTTTGCGGCAGGAGAGAGTCGTCTTCCGGAGCTCCGCGGCTTTCACTTGACTCCCAGTCACCACCAAAAATATGTTGTGTCATGATTGCCGTCAACGACGATCGATGCGCGTGCGATGCTCGAGCCCTGTGATCGTACTTATTCGCCAGCAAAGCGCGGGTACGTGGGACTTCCCAGCCGTGTCTCCTCACTTGCCTGGGGCTTGCCTAGCTAGCTAGTAACTGACAAAAAAACAAACCCGGGCTTGTCAGGTGGAAGAATTACTAGTGACAGGAAAGCCAGAAAGGTGATGGCTTAGTTGTTAGATCCGCAAAATTTCTTTCGCTCGACTTTTTGATCAATTTGATATCAAACACAAGCGATGGTTTTCGCTGTTCCGGGCTCATGTAGTTTACCAGTTTTTGAAGAAGTATTTTTTGGCACATTTTCCGCGTATTCAGGATAAAAAAATAGTGCGTTGATGAAAATGTGTGGATTCCACAGGTGGGCAGTGATAAATTGACACTAGTGTACACGAAAAATAATTCAAACCCCAAATTGGAAGCAGTTTTGCCATAGGAACTCAAGCTAAAGGTGCCCGGTAACGAGGCGTGCCAGTGTCTGAGGCGTCCCCGTAAGAGACATTTGAGTGACTCATTGCTATTAATATTTGCAACTATTGCATCCTTTCCGCAGCCTTAGTAAACTGCATTGCAGCCAATTATACATTATTGCACTCATTCCAAACACCCACACAGGGACGTTTCTGCTGCGAACGTCACTTTTGGGTCACTAAATGTTTGGGCATAACCCATCATTAGTTTGAACCAGTAACCTGATACTGAGCCATGCCTGAATATTTGGTGAATCAAAAGCGGTGTTTGCAGCAGGGAGACAACGTGTGAGCGTCTGGAGGGAATAGAGTGATATTGTTACCTCATTGGTTACGCAAGTTTTCGAATGGGAAATTCTTTTTGATGTATTTTCTTTTCTTCTAAGTTGCGCTTACCTTCTTCTGCTCCTCTGGGTACTTGCTTTCAAGATGGCGGATAATTGCCCTTAGTCTAGCTGCAGGCAGAGCTTGCTTGCTGTCATTACTTGCTACTGCAGAGTCTAGGCATGTCCTGTTGTCCTGAAGGAACAATGGTCAATCAACAAGAAAGTAAAACAGACCTCTTAGTAAACATTGCACTTAGCTTTGTAAATCAGAACAGCAGTTGATTTTGAATACTTTGCAGATTCAAGGAACTAAAGACTTTTCTAATGCCCATTCTGAATATTATCACAACTCCCATTAAAACCCTTTGAGAGCCGCCCCATACTTGAATGTGTAGAATTCTACACACTCGACTGTGTGACTTCAACAGGCCCTAACTCGGTCAAAACTAGCTCAAACTCAACCATCCAAATATCTATGTTGAAGAGAAAACTCTCAGCGTGCCGTAGAACCCATCTGGGAAGTGCTGCGAACAACGGCTCCTGAGATTATAACACATTATAATAGCGGAGCCAAACTATGTCTTGTGATCATAAAATTGTACAATTTATTTAATGCATACTTCAAGTATGGTATTGGTCAGAGAAAATAATGTAATTTGTCATTGATTGATTCGCCTTGTTGAGTTGTACTTAGACCGGCTTGTCCAATGGTCTTACCAATCTCCTTATCATCCTGTAATCTTTCGACGTTCTTTGCTCCCGAGGGATATACCTCGTGCAAATCTTTGTTTCGTTTTCTTCCCCTCATTGGACCATTCCGCACGTAAGACTTCCAAGTGATATATGAAGTTTGGTGTTTTTCAATTTGTAGATTCGTTGGAACTAGGTGTCAGGTCGTTCAATGTCTCAGTACTTCTGTCAGTTTAGCGTCTTGTTGTCACACTATCTGACTGTTTATGCAGTATCCCTGCCTTGCTTGATTGTAGCTGACTATTGTAGTATCCCTGCCTTGCTTGATTGTAGCTGACTATTGCAGTATCCCTGCCTTGCTTGATTGTAGCTGACTATTGTAGTATCACTGCCTTGCTTTATTGTAGCTGACTATTGCAGTATCCCTGCCTTGCTTGATTGTAGCTGACTATTATAGTATTCCTGCCTTACTTGATTGTAGCTGACTATTGTAGTATCCCTGCCTTGCTTGATTGTAGCTGACTATTGCAGTATCCCTGCCTTGCCTGATTGTAGCTGACTATTGTAGTATCCCTGCCTTGCTTGATTGTAGCGTATCCCCGTATGTTATCATTTGTAGTTTGTTGCCTATAAAAGCTGCTGTTCATTTCTGTTATCACAATATTTTGTAACATAATAAACCAGGTGGTGTACGTGAGGAAGTCTAAGTAAAAGTTAATTAGTGTTAAGCACTGTGCCTCCACTCGGCTACCTGTTACATTTTATTATCTCGTTACATTTGTGGATCATGGTCAAAATTTGTACTAGTAACATTTTGGCCCCTACTCTTTAACATGAATATTATTGTTTCGCCACCCAAGATTATAATTTGATCACTGTTATCAACACATTGTCTCACATACAACCGTCTGCCTAACTTTGCACAATACTCACCATGTATCTATCTCACACATCGCTAGCGTTATCGTTCTTAACCAATACTAATTGTTGCTGTTTTGACACATTCATTTCCTGGTTTCTGAATGTATACATTCTTAGCTTGTTTCCCATGTTCATTTAGTCACGACATTCCACTCATGATTGTGACAAGAAAACGTTCTGGACTTAAAGGGGAACTCCGCGAAAAAATAAAATTTAAATCCGGTAGAGTTTCGGGCACTGAGTCGAATGGTCTTGGTCCGAAGTCTCTACGAGAACGCGTCCTTGAGATATTTCAATTTCATTGCCAAGTCGCCTGAGCCCGTGCGATGCCAAAATGTTGCGTTGTTGGTTGTGCCAGTAGCACATACTCCTCCTGGGCTTAGTTTTCTCATATTCCCAAAGGATGGGGACCTGGCAAAGCGCCGAGATGTTGCAATACGATTTTCGCAGCACGAGCTATGTTTGCTCGCTGCATTTATGATCCAGAGGTACTTGAGAGCTGAGTTTTGACGAGTACGCCGTCCAGGAAAGCCTTCATCAGTGTACCAGTGCCCTCCAAACCATGAGCCTCCAGCAAAGCGAACTCAACAAGCTGCAACTGAAAGCAGGACGAGGTACGTACCATCAGGATCAGAAGAGTACACCACCCCATTAACTCCGACTGCAGCTACCTGATGAACGATATTATCCCAGTTATGTTGCGCATACCAGTACTCAAACTGTGTACATCTGTCATCAACTGGGACGCAAACAGACAGACTCCCAGGAAGTACGAAGGTTACAGAACTGTTTGCTTGCCATAACAGGCAGCATGCACGACGAACTGTCTGACCAATCCTGCCAAACTAAACCGGCGTAAGTAGCAGTTGATTGTGTGGATATCTATTAATAATAGTTACTCTAATTTTAGGGATGGTGGCATCACTATCATATCACTCAGAGCAGTTGTTAGAAGTCTTGACAGCCTAAGAATAGTGCAAGTAAGGTGGAACACAAATGTATTACAACTCCGAGTTCCACGCTTGCAGAATCACCAGGCCAAAAATTCTAATGTCGAACGGGGAATGGGTTCTTGTTGTATGCGAAGGAAAAGTAAGTGAATAACTATTGTGCAAGGAATACAGTGGAAACTACACATACACATGCACTCACACCTTCACCCACATGCACGTGCGCATGTGCGTGCACACACACACAAACACAGCAACAACACACACACATTCACACACACATACTAAACTCACTCGCACGCTAGCCTAAGAATAGTACATATGCTGTAATAGTAGGTATATCAGCGTATTTTTTTCTTTCATAGTAAACCAGGAAAACTGTTTGTTTTCGGGAAGAACTACAGTAGAGGAGATAGCACAGAAAATTTGGATGAAAAATATTGAAGGGTGCCAGAGATATGAGGCGTCAAAGTCATACGCCAACCTTCATCATGATGTGTTCAGAATGCCATACTGCTGTGGCACCAACAGGGTTTTCCGGAAAGCCCAGCAATCGCTTGCAACATTACAATATTGTCAGAATGCTATGAAAGCTGGCTTGTAGGTGCAATATAGGTGCAATACAGGTTGGTTAGTCCTAATGTTGACCAAAATATAATATTTCGTCAAGCGATGACCAATGAGAACGAGCGCGGTGGCTGTAGCAACCACCATAGGAACAATGCTAAATCCATTGAACACGAGTTCCATTTCTATGAAATTGAAGTGAGCACTGCTGGCTATGGTTGTATTATACATGTACAAAAGGTTAATAATAAATACAGTAGTTTGGTCTTCAGATGCCCAACTTTACTAATAATAAATACAGTAGTTTGGTCTTCAGATGCCCAACTTTACTGCGGCAGTCACACAGACTTGATCAATCATGTATATGTACTAGTACATGTACATTTACATGTAAAATGCACAATAGTGAAATATGCGTACAATCCAATCACTGACGCGATCCATTTCAGAGCAGCACTTTCTTTCTGGTTTCAAGGCGAAGAGTCGAATACAAAATCATAGCTCACTTTGTTGCAATAGCGAAAGTCTCCGTCAGGTGCAATCTTTCACTAGGGCCAACAAATCAAATCACCACTCCTAGCGCTTGAACATAATGGGTCCAGAAATTCATTCATTTTGGGCGACCAGGAGGTGAAAGTCTTGAAAGTGCGATGAAGAGCGATCCCCAGCTTGAGAAGAAAGCACTATTCTACATAATTCGAGGTCGCTGAACACGATGGTGGGTGTTTCCTGGCCGTGTACTTCCTCCAAACAGATGAAAAATCCAATTGAAAACTACACTCCTCACAACAAAAAGCTCAAAGTACAGTTGCCCACGCAAGTGCGGCACCAAAACGAGCTGGAAGACCCCAGCTATCAAACGCACCAACTTTCAACCTTGAAAAAGAAAGCAGGACAAAGCAGTTGGAAAAAAACTGCAGCGAAGTCCATGGTGCCACCGCTACCATACTAATGTACGTGACCCGCGTGAAGGCTGTTTTCAGCTGATTTGTCACGTGACTGAACTCCCTAGTAGTAGTGGTGTCGTCAGTGAAACGACTATGTGTACATCTAATGACGCCGCCACTCCACGCAAGAAGACAACAAACATCTGCTGAACGGTTTGCTCCCTTCTCTTATGGCCAATACAGGGAATGAAACAAACAATGCAATTTAGAACAAGAGTCGTCCTGTACGGCGAAGTTTCCATTTTCTCATATTGTTGTGCACCCTCTGGGTCTCTGAAGTATCAGGACCGAACGACTACACAGCACGAGGACAGCTATTTATTCTCAACAGTATATTTTGACTTCCATTGAATCTAACTAACACTAATAACACCAGCTATTTATAGCATGCAAAAACAGTGTACATGTATAATCAAAGCATATGCATGTAAGACATGACATGACAGCGTATACAGGAAAATGCACACAGCGCAAATAGCGCACGCAATGCAGCAAACATCAGCAGTACGGCGAAGTCGAGATACAACATCGCAACGAATACAATGTCATAAGTCAGAAGGCCATTCCCACTTGAGAACTGGTGGTTTGTAACATTCTCCCCACCAAAGGGCTTCTCACCGCAGTACAACAACTCACACAAGTCAAAAACGATCCGGGGCTCTGACTACGCGCCCATAACGCGCCATCTCCTGCTGCGGTGGTGGTGGCTGCACCAGTGCTGACCGTACAGACGCTGGCTGCTGCTGGACGATAGCAGGTTGTACGGCATCGGCAGGCCCAGAAGCCACGTCTTGTGAGTATACTTCTAATGGCACTAGCCTCTGGATCGGCCGCAAGAGAGTACTGGTACTCAACTTAGCCTTGGCAACACAACGCTTACCATCTCGACAAGGGAATAGCTCGACGGTCCGTCCCAAATGCCAGAACTGCTTGCGCTTGGTATCATCGAGAACAAAGACGACATCACCCACAGCTAAAGGGCACGACATGGTCTGTTGGTGCTTGTTCAGCTGACTTAGGTACTGCACCTCTCAACGATTCTTGACATGCTTCAGTGTGCGACTGAGGTAGTGCAATCTCGATGACATCTGCGTAGCGTCCAGGGTACCTGCTGGCTT